GGTGCCAACCAGCCTAGAAGGTCCAACAATCTGGCTATGTCAGATATAACTTGTCTTTTTGTTACCGGTGCTGTCGTCGGAGGAAGATTCACGATGTATTGGAAGCTATTATCGTTCCGTTTCCAGGTAAAACCTATTTTTATTTTACTGTCAAATTTGATTTCTAAATCCTTATTCTCTTCCTTTATAGGAGCTGTTTCTTCGACTTCTAGTTCCGTTTCCTTCATTGGATCTATTATTTTCATGATCTCCTGATTGTTACTATTCCATTTTTGCAGAACGAATCCGCCTTTTTCAGTAATAAATTTATCTGTTTAAATATTTCTATGCCTTCTTGTACACTGTCACTCCCGGGCATCCATATAAAACTATTCAATGTTATCTGCCGCTAACGGATAATTACTTTGGTGAAGAGTTCTTACCGAATATCATATCAAAATATGGAGCTGAAGCGGTCCCAAAAGTCACAGTGACCAGCTCATAATCTCTGATTGGATCAGGGTTGTCCTGCCAAAGAATCCTTTGGACCATGGCGTCTTCGTCAGCAATTCTAACCTGTCGATACATCATTATTATATAACTATGCCACTAAACCAATCGAATGTGTCCTCCACCTTAAAACAGTATTTTTTTTATTTTTTTTAATGGGACAAGCCCGCCACAACCTCCCAAAACCGCTGCAACTCCTGTAAGCCAGGATCTACAGTAGATACAACCATGAAAACACCGGAACACTGAAGTACGGCGCGTCCCAGGGACATGAGTAACTGTCTTGGTTCCCGCAACGAAGTGAATCAGAAGATATTATAAGAGGAGAAGAAGAAAAAACTATGGTTTTCACTTCCCTCGGTGAATTACTGCAGGAGACAGAATGAATTAAGCCTAAAGGCACAAAGAAGAGACTGTACAACTGGGTGAAGCCCAGTCGCCAAGCACCACGGAAATTTGACTAAAAACTAAGTGGGTCCTATGTGTGAGCTGTTATACTTGCTTCCAATAATAGGTATGGCAAAAACGCCTAAACGCACGGAAATTCGTTCTAGATTCCACAAGGTCCGTATAATAAACTACACCTGACGAAACAATTAAATTATTTAACATAGTGTTACGTTCATATTGCCAGAGATCACACTCCCAGAGTATGTGATGGGCCGACTGCTCGTATCGCAACTCCTCTGTCGAACATTGGCACCATGGTGAATCAATAAGTTTAAATGAGAACAATTTGCTTTTAAAGTTGCCGTGGCCAGTAAGAAATTGGGCAACACAGTGATCCACCTCCAACCATGTCCTCTCCAGCCGCTCATGCACGGATGGGAAGAACTGATACAGGTGGCGGCCCTTAATAGAAGATGCCCATCTACACTGCCATTCGGTTATAAGCTCGCCCCAAACGTCCGTCACTGGCTTAAACAATCTATCAATTTTATTTCTATCACGTTGTGCTAGAAAGCTTGCTGACAAATTAGGCCTCGCACTGTATTATTAAAACAGTATGTCTTAGGTCTGCTTGTAGAGTTGATCCGACCATCAGCGTATCATTCAGGGAAATATCTTTTTTTTTTCAGAGACATTAAATACCACCCGAACCTTCGTAGTTGTCTTCTCATCCCTTACTACGGCGTGGTGTGGTAAGTATAAGCAATAGATTAGTGAATAGTGGTTTCCCTAAAGTTATTGGTAATTAATATTTCTCTTTTTTTGCCCCACACCTTGGCTTTCTCCTGTGTCGTGGGTTCGTTTACAAACATACAAGTTTGTTGTAAATCGGGCTCGGCCGGCACCAACGGCGCAAACGCTCTTAATGATAGTAACATTTACGGATGGTGGAGCGATGGTTACCTACATGATACAAATGAGTAACGAGTTAATGGCGGCGAGAATCGAACGCGAACTGAACTTTCACATGAATTGTACGGATGGAGCGTTCACAAACAAGTAATTTAATTTTTTGACAGTTCACTGACATGCATGACATGACTTGTAACTCGAAGTATTCCTCTTGGATGGTGATGAAAATTAGCCCTAAGGTTCTTAGTCCCAAAGTAGCTAGTTTCTGAGATATTCAACATTATTGGTTTTGGTTAAAAATACCGAACTAAATAAAAAAACATCAATAAGTAATAAAAAAACTACTAGTTATGTTATGGCATATTTAAGTGTAAGTAGGTATTTGCGCCCATTATTATTTTTATTTATGTTTGTCGTTTCCTTTTCTGTACGTACCTACTAAGTATGTTATGAATGGTGTACAATAAAGTTGTATTCTATTATATTCTAGGTACAGTAAGTGACCCAAATAAAACCTATGCCCCAATAAGGCCTATTCTGTCAATTTCGCGTTTCACGATTTCAAATGGCCGCCATCGTATGTAGAAACTAGAAAGAAGCACAGCGAGCGCCCCGTGCTGCGAGCGAGTCACAACCTGCACTCGAAATAACAACGACGTGGAGCGCAACACAGCGCAACCGTGTTTTTCTAAAATCCGGGCAGCGTAAACTGGCATTATTTTTATTTGGAGCCGTACCTATACTTTTCATCCATACGACAATTATTATACATTTAGCCATCTCCACATATAGGTAAGTGAAGTAGCTGTAATATGTATATAGTATGTACGTACGTACTTAAGTGTATTCCACACAATCGTCGTTTTGTTTAGCCATGTGCCATAAACATATTATCTACATATTGTGCTGCTGCAGGTATAGTTATAACATCCCAAGGAATACATTACGCAACCATCTACTGGTATCTACGTGGTATGTGGTTTGAGTACCTACCTACACAGTGGCTAGACCGGTCGACTGTAATATATATATCAAGTAGCTGGACTCGTCAGAAGAATCATTCGTTTGGCTGATGTTGAAGTACCTACCGATGAATTCAAAGATGTTGCGCTTACAGGCTTTTACCTACATGATCAGGAACTCGCTTGTCTCATCTATAATGACAAAAGCTAATGAATGAGATCTCATCAGGTATATTTAAAAAATAAGTAGTGACAAAGTTTTGTATTAATTCAGGAGAAAAGGAAGAAACCTACTTGTTGTAATTAAGGCACGCGGTTCTCAATAAGGCCAAAGTGACATTTTAGTTAAGTATTTGTACCTACTTATGTTACGTACTTAGTTATTTTGTAAAGTATGATTTTTGTTTGTAAATTTTGTTTTCTTTATGACAAAGTTTAGTAAATAAATATAAGTTTTTAAATTACCAACGCATTTATATTATAAACCTACGAGTTAGGCAATAAAAAATAGGTAGGTAGGCCTTATTTGGTGGCCTTACCTTACTATCGCATGGTAAGGTAAGGCATAAAAACGGCCCGAGAATCGTTCCTTGCGGCACCCACATTGTCGACACAAGATCTCATCTATTTTTTTGACATTTCATGTTTGGAGTTAGTGTCAATCACTTGATTACCGAATTCTCTACTTCTTAATTAAATGAACACGTTGAACCGGTGTGGGTCACCTCACCGGCGACCGACACCGACGTTAGTGGAGGATTTACCTTCAACAGTTTTCTATTGCCAGTCAAAGCCCCACTGTCTTAACTACAAAATTGTCTTATACAGAGCCAACAAAAAGTACCTAAATTTTGTGATACATACTAACTCTGTCGAGAAAGTACCGGGAAAAGATCAATGGGTAATACACAAAATGTCTGTTATTCATCTAAATTTATTTTAACACCTCAAAGTATGCTCCTTTAGAAATGATACACTTGCGCCAACGAATAATCCATTCATCAAAACATTTTTAAAATGCTGCTTCCGGAATTGAGTTCAGTTCTCGCCGCGAATTCTCCTTTATGTCTTCTATCGATTGATCACGGGTGCCACAAGTGGTAATTTGAGTTTAGGAAAAAGAAAAAAGTCAGCAGGAGCCATATCTAGTGAATATGGAGGTTGCTGGGTGGTATTTGTTGAGTGTTTGGTCAAAAATTCGTTCACAACGATAGCCTTGTGCGAAGACGCTTTGTCGAGGTGCAAAATCCAAAAGTGTTGTTTCCAAAAATCTAGCCTTTTTCGTCGAATTTACTCTCTTAAACGCCGCATAACGCTCAAATAATATTCTTCCGGTAAGAATTCAGAGTGCACAACACCACAATAGTCAAAGAAAACAGTCAACATTTTGATCGACTTTGGCGTGGTTTCTTCGGTTTCGGTTCAGTTGGAAGGCGCCACTCCGAAGCTTGTTGACTAGTTTGCATGTCAAACTCGTAAACCCACGTCTCGTTACCAGTAACAATGCGTTTATATAACGTTTATATGCGTTTGTATAACACTATATATATGATATTACTAAAACCAGCACTGTATTTAATTTATATAACAGATGCAACTCAAACTCCGCGCCAAAATGGAAAACAGTTGTGCCAATCTAACAACTAAAAAAAAAACAAAAATTTGAATTTGGAACCATAAACAAATCATCCATTCCCGATACTTTTTTCTTTTTTGACTGAATGTAGGTACCTAGGTACTTTTTAAAAGCACATCAATAGCAAATTTAAAACCTCAAAAAGTTTTGCATAAAAACTGTTCGATGTTGTAGAAGTATTAATAAATACTACCTGAGGTTTGACTTGGCATACACAGTCGGTCTTAACTACTTAGGTAGCATAGACACAGTGACACAGTAGACAGTCCGCAGCCAGTAAGGTGCCTACTTATGCATTTTTATAGTGTGGGTGTGCTCTAGGTGACCCATCTACTAGGTATATTCCGACACCACAGTATGTTCTTGGCCCAATATTACGTACTAGTATGTACACGTGCACGTAAGATATATAAGTATTAGGTACTGACAACATTATACTAGATATTTAGTGAATGAAGTGTGTCGCGCGACCTGCCGGGAGTGGGTGGTGGCCAGGACACAGGTCCCACGGTGCCGGGGGCGGCGCCAGCGGGCGGTGGGCGGGGCGGGGCGGGGCGTGGGACGGCGCGCGCGCGTGCGGCCGGGCGCGCCAGTGACGCGCGCCGCGCGGAGTCGCACGCACCAGCCCGCAGCCGCGCACAGTGCGCGCCCCGAGTGTGCCCGAGTGCCCGAGTGCCCGAGTGCGCCGCGAGTGCCCGACAGTGCCGTGCCCAGTGCAGTGCCGCGGCGACAGCTCGCCAGTGTTGTTAAGTGACACAGTGCCAGTGTGTGGACTGGGAGTACTGGGAGCGCTCGCCCGCTCGCTTCCCTAGGTCCGCTGCTCGCTTTGGTACGGCCGTAGGTACTTGTTGGTACTTGGAACGACATCTAGGCTTTACGCGAGTACGTATTAGTCTACAGGTACGTAGTTACACACCTGTTACGTATTCATATTTAATTACCAATCACCAAGTCCTGCTGTCCCCAAGTTCCACAAATAAAAATGGCCTGAAGTAATAATGTTGAAGATAGTCGCATCGAATTATAAACTACGGGAGTAAATAATATCATTTTGCCTGTTCGCGTCCCTTTAGTGCGGACGGTAGGTTTGAAAGGTGAAACAATGTTCCAGCACTTAGTTTCAATACGTTTCGTACCGACTACAATAAATGAAGGAGGTCGGCAATGTTCGGATGATTGGTTATTATGTGATGTTACTCGTATGTAGGTAAAGTAGTTCACTTTAAGGTCAGCGATCCTAAATATAATGTTGTCAATGATATCTGTATCATTGACAACATTGTTTTCGTATTATTAAAGTAGACAAACATCTAAGCAAGTTTGCGTCCAAAAATGCTAATTGCGTCCACTCGTAACAGTTTGCATTCAGCGTGAATCAGTTTAGCAAATGATTGTATGTACACTTAGAGATGATTTCTATAAGATGACGTGTAGGAAGAAGGCACCTGGCGTTTCTCTAAAATAAAATATTGATCTCTAATAGGTATGTAGGTATAATTTATTTATTTACCTCTAAACGAGGTGAAGATAGAATTTTCCTGACTTATTCAAAGGTACTGCGGGCCGATGAGAGAAAAGCAGACGCCGAGCTGGAGCCGACGCGAATGGGAAGAATAGCTTAATGCCAAGCTCGGCCATATAAAGCTACATTTTTTTTTATTTATTGGTGTCAGGCAAGAAAGGCAATATAAAATACAATAATACTATAATATATGTACTAAGTACCTACAATTTTAACTTAAAATACCTACTATAAATACAAATGTAAGTTGTACACATTAAGTATGGAGGACAATGTGTACCTGACCATTTAATGAATTTTCTATAGTAATTAATGAGGCGCGGAGAATATAAGTCAAAGTCAAAATCTAAATAATTTATTTTAATTAGACCAGTTAGATACTTTTGAACGTCAACAAAAAAACTAAAAGTGAAGCTATTTGCTCAATCCAAAGTGTGGAGTCCTATGGAGAAGAACGAGCAAGAAACTCCATAGGTTACTCTTGTTCTATCAGGTTCACAATACAATTCTCTAGTTACATAGTTTTATTGGTTCGATTCGTGTGCGAACAATGTAACACCAAAATGTAACAGTGTAACAGTCAAACAGATCGAAAAACAAAATAACCTTCAATACAGTACCTTAATAATACATTCTGGAGCTGACCAGCCCTAGTTGACGACACCCGTTGAGGAAATTTTGGTCCAATACAACAACATCTACCGAATCAGGGTAAAAGGTGAAAGTGTTGATTTTGCGAAATCCATCCGAAATATACCTAATTGAAATTTTGTATTTTTGTCCTCGGTGAATTTAGGAAAACATTCATCGATTATTGGTGAACCTTGGTGGTGAAGTGATTAGGTGATCAGTAATTTCTATATTTGGAGCTATTTGATTAAATTTTGTTAGTCTTTAGTCGGTCTGTAGAGTCGGGAATGTATAGTTCACGTTTTGATAAATTTAGGTCATCAATCGTCGTAAATCGTCCCATCTAATTATGAATTTATTCGCGATTATGTTACTTAGATTTATGGCTAAACTAAAAATGGCATGTCCAAGACGCATGAGGCATGTCAACAAGGAGACCCTCCGACGGCCGATTGTATTAAATTATCCCTAGATGTAAGTATATTGTATTGTAGGTAGAAGGGTTTCGATAACATTGCCAAAGAAAATTGTACATGTTGAGGAATTCTTTTTGAATACCTGTCAACAAGGCGCACTGCTTACGGAGTTAGGCATTTTAATGTCAACCTTTATAATGACCTCGCCGTGGTAGCTGTTTCAAACTATGGATAGGGCATGTACCGCAGCCTCGCAGCCCTTCAAATGTTGTCTCCGGGAAGAAAATAAACATTGCCATTCAATTCAGTTCAGTGGCAATGTTGTCAGCCTTCTGGGAAGGTACCCCGGTGACAGTTCTTTGACGCCTGATTAAGGTTATTTTTTGTGTACTAGGTATATTCTAGTTTCTTTTTATTCACTGTTTTAGGTAGTTGTACCTAGTTAATTAATTTGAAGTTTTATTTATTTATATTTATTACCACAACAAACATAACATAACATCACGCCTTTTATCCCCGAAGAGGTAGGCAGAGGTGCACATTATGCCACTGTACCTACAATGTAACACCCACTTTTCACCAATTTATGTTGTGAATCCCATGTAATAGGGGGTGAGCCTATTGTATGGCCATATACCCGGCACAATTCCAGGCTCCGTGCTACTACTGAGAATTTTTTAAAAACCCAGTAATACTTTGCCCGACCAGGGAATCGAACCCGAAACCCCTTGCCCGGCAGTCGCACTTACGACTATTTGGCTAACGAGGCAGTCAGTATTTATTATAACTATGTAGGTACAATTAAATATTGTTTCCGTTCCGGCGTAATACCCGTTGGTAAGAGCGGCGAAAATATTTGACTTCTGGAGGACTAGCATTACCGGGTTTTTATCCCCTGGCAAAAGTCTCGTTTATTTAAACTGTTTAAGTTGCAGCATTTGCAGTTGTAAGCATGGCTGATGTCTGGAATATGCTTGATAAATGTGTCGAATCAGTTTAGCTCTGGGTCTCGAGCTGTGCCGACAATGCGTTGCCGTGTCGGTGTTGAGGTGTGTAACTTCCGTATATCTGCTCTCCACAATCCCCGGTTCCGAGGAGATACTACCTACTGCTGCCTCGGTGTTCAGCTTTGTACTTTGGCGTCGCCCAAACACCAATTATTACAAGCTTTTATTTCAAACATCAAAGTAGGCATTTATTTCAATTAATCTTCAATTTTTGAAACGTCAAATTGAATTGTCAGTGAAGCTTTTTACCTTGCAATTTATGTGTATGTGTATGTATATACTCGTACCTATGTATGAATATATGTATGTATGTGTGTGTGAAGCGGTATTTTACCTACAACTGAATTTTGAAGCATAACCGATGGAGCTGATGTAGTTAAGTAGTAGCATGTTATATTTAGATTGTTTAGTTGTGTGTGTGTTGCGTGACCATAATTGCTAATCTGAATAAAAGTATTGTTTTAAAAAGCTTTAAATTAAAATTGACATATTCAGACATATCGGCTGAAGATAGCCTCGATGGCCTCATAAGTCCAGTCTTTCGGAACACGTGATAGTTTGGTTCAAATACTCAAAAGTCTCCGAACACACTGCTTGTCTACTGTCTAGACAACACCCGCCGACCCATTATCATGTTGTGCATACTTTTACAATTTAACTAGTTACTGATACCGACGAGGAGTTTTGTATTTGAGGCCAGGTTGTCAATTTAATGTCGCAGCGATTAATGGAGGAGGCTTAGCTCGGAGTCTCTCTGAACTGAAGGGTCGAATCTGAAATGATTCGACAGAGAATAGAGAACCAGTGGTTGGGGTAGATGTGCTCGTGTGTGGAGACCGCGTCTAGGCAAACGTAGTGCGGGCTGACAGAGGCTGGGTGAAAGGAACCGACACTGTAACAGTGCACCCCATTATTTCACTATTAGTTAACGTTCATGATTGACCAATTATTCCATTTTCCATTTTCCAACTTTAGAATCTGTATCCTAAATCCTAAAATTAACATAAAACAATAACACAAAATAAATTAAACGGCAGAGATTAGTTACAAAACAACATAAATAGTGAAAAGTGTTACATTGTAAAGTGGCGTCAAGTGCAGTATTGTGCACCCCTGCCTACCCCTGCGGAGAAAAAAGGCATGATTTTATGTCATGTTCGGTTAGATTAGTTAAATGACGTTAAGGGTTTATGCACGTAAACTACCTAATTGAGAAGAGCTTAATGTGTGTCATTGAGGAGCAAGCGCGGCGCGGCGACGCTGTGTTTGTTCACGCATGTGACTTCAATTCTTATTAAAGATAGGTTATTTGCAAATATGTGTAATACAATAACATGACTGTGGTCTGTGGTGTTTAGTTAGGTACATTGCGAGCTCAGACATATTTTAACAGGAGGCATGCAAATATTAATTAAATATTATTTAAAAATAAAAGTAAGAAGTTGAAAATTAAATTTAAATTATATAAAAGAAAATTAATATCCCATATCAACTCGGATTAGAATAAAGAAAGCTACTTATTAAATTGAATCCAGCCTTTAAAATAATACACCAAAGTCACACGAACAGAATGTAGGCACAATGTCAAGAGTTAAGAAGAGCACAGTTAAGAAGAGTCGTAATAAAGTAAATGAAATGTCCAAAATAAGCGAGTGATTAAAATATAAGTGTATTCTATTGTCCATTCGAAAATGTGCAACATTGTAATATGCTGTCTACTAATAATTTTCCCATTTTGGGTTTTTTAATAATGACATAGGTACCTACTCACATCTCTCCAGGATTTAGGTGCCATGCAACAGACACTTTTACTCATTAGTGTTGTCTTCGCACTTTGAAGACATACTTGACTATTGTCTCGTGACTATTACTTCGTGCCACTATGTCGTTATTTGATTTGATTGACTTGGCAGACATAGCCATTTCCATTATATAAATACCGGTAATGTTAAAACGTAATGTTCTTTAAAATACGGATAACAACTATCGTGTCAACTGTACTGTCTAGTTTATACATTGAGCGATTCACCTTTTTGGGCGTTGTTGTGTTGTTTGTCGGTGGAATTACCCCAGAATATAAGTAACCCCGTAACGAAGATGGGGTTTAGCTAAACCGTAGTAGGCGGTAAGAAGCGCTTCCTAAGAAACTCTCAACGACAATGCATGTAAGGTATAGATGCGGATATATGTATGTAGATCGGTACTTAGTTTCTTGGAAACCTATATGTGATATCCAGTTCAGATTTTCATCTATTTCCAAAACCAAAACGGAAAACATTAATACTATAGACAACCGTGGCGTGGTAGGTATTATCTATTTGTGTA